TCCATGCTACATAGGATGCCATTGCCAGGGGTTGCATGCTGCATGCTGAGTTGTTCAGCATCCTGAAACACTAGAGAGCAGCGACAGCAGCAGTGACTCCGAAAACAGCAAAAACAAATTGTATAAACATTATTACAGAAATTAGTTATCACCCTGAATTGTAATCTGTTTCATTAATTAGTATTATTATTATTAATATTTTTTTTTTACAAATTGCTGCTTAATGTAACAGTTTTAATCATTAAATACTTTTAAAACTACTCCACACATGATTCCTGTGTGTTTTAGCATTTCAACATTTAGTTGTCAGTACCTTTGTCTCACACTCAGTAACCAGCCTAACCCAAAATCCTCAAATGGTTTTTTGTTGTTGATAGAATAAAGCTATCCCACTTGTGAAAGAATATTGCAAATACTAGACATGGCAATACAAATAATATATATATATATATATATATATGTATATATTGCATAAATATGCAAACTATATACTGTACATACATAAACATCAGTTAATGGTTAACTTCTTTCTTGGAACTGAATTGAATTGACGGGCTATTATAGGCTTGAAATTGAATTCCCTCTAAATTTGTTATGGACCATAGGGACTGTGTGGTTAGTGAAAATGATCAAAATATGATTTCATCTAGTAAAAGTGAACTTCACATGGTAATTTTTGTATTTTAACAACAACAAAGGGTAAAGAATGTTACCGATTACAAATGGAATGTTATATTTTTTTTCTTCTTTTTTTTGCCTACCTATGAATTAAGAGGCATTGTTCACTCTTACTTTCTAATTACATGTACAGTCAATGCATCAGATGAAAGCTTATCTTCCACTCTTTTGAACGGTCTGCTCAGTTTGTTTCTAGCATAAAGTATCAGGGAGATATGGCTTAGGATTCATGAATATAATCAAACCGTTTTAGCATGTTTGGGTGATTCCGGGGAGTTAAAGCAGAATTTGAGGTAGCATTGTTTTGACCCTAATTACAAGTTTCCAGCAGCTTGTTCACCGGGTTGTCCACCCAGGTTGCGATCCTCAGACATCATAGATTTCATTTTTATAGGACAACCTTTTACAGCAGCCCATGTCTGCTAAACCCCCTTTGCCCCCTGGGTAGTCTGTCTGCTTGTTGGAGCACAACACACGCTGGAGTCCTAGGTGAGAATTTCTTTTAGCTTCATCACGCAGGCCAAAGAAGTGCATAAATGAAGTGCCTTACAAAATTAGAATTTAGACGCATCTGCTTACGAAAATGCAGTACAGACGTCAAGTGGAAGTTCAACTCTGTGTGTTGGTTTAGTTTTAATAGTAAGCAAAGTGTAGATATGCGAACCGTCATATGTTTATGCATTTTTCATTGTACAACAATTTCATTGTTTTAAGAAATTCATAAGCCTACAATTTAACATGGGGAGCTAATTATAACCGATAACTCTGTGATGTATATGTATATATGCGTGTCTATATTTGTTTTGTGTTCTCTTACGAAGCCTACAAAAATGCTTAAGGGAAATGAGGGTGGTCATGGGGATGGCATAATATTTGGAAGCTGTATACAACGTATTAACTGATGTCCATGTTTTCTATCAGCTTTGCACTATTACTAACTCTACTATAGTGGGGTAGGTTGTAACCGCACTCTCAGTCTTGGAAACCGATTGATGCACTTTAGTGAAAATGGTGGATTTCTAAGCTACATTGACTTGAAGCAGATAAATGTGTGAATATTATAAAGTTTGAGACTCATTGCAAAACCCCTGACTTGCTAATGCTGAAGCAAACTATTACAGCACTTCCTGGTCTCCCCTAATGATCCACTTCAACCCTCTTCTGTAGTGTCCGGTCGGTGTCCGGCGACGCTGACGGTCACGCCGTCCCGTCGAGGATGCACTTCTGATAGAGACTGCTCTGGAGGACACAAATGCTGTCAATTTCCCTGTGGGCGCTCGTGTGTGCCGCCTGTTTTCAGTGAGTTTTAATTAATGGATGCTATATGTCTTCCAAAAAAAAACCTGCATTTTGTTTCTCTCAGAAATTTCTAGTATATTTCACAAATAATTGCAAAGAAACCGCAAGCAACGCATTGGACTAAATGTGAAACCGTAAGTAGAAAGACTGAATATTCCGGAAAAACCATCTTATGGCGACTTTTTTCATACAGCGAATGAGACATTCAGTGTTCAGTGGCTTCAGTTATGTTGCAACCATTCAGTGGCAGTATTCAGTTATGTGGCTTCTCTGTCATGTGTCTCTTTATCAGCAAAGCCAGGAGAGTGTCCAAGCAAAAAAATTGGAGCAGAAACGTGTGACGATTTGTGTCACTATGACAGTGACTGTCCGAACAATGAGAAATGCTGCAGCAATGGATGTGGACATCAGTGTATGGCTCCATTTGCAGGTATTTATGTTATTATATTAGTGTTTGGGTCAGCTTCCTCATTTCAATTTGTCCTGGTTTAGAATTAATTGTTCTCAATGTAAAAGTGTTCAGCCAATTGCACGGTTTCGAGCACAGGATGGCTTTGCAAAATTAATTCTTAATACGATTATTTATTAACACGATTGATTAATAATTAAGGAGTAAAACTTACTATTTGGGTTTGGTGCTGTATCTGAGAGTGAATGCCGCTAAACTGACAGACTAAAGTTGACCATTCGTATCCATCCAGTGAAGCCTGCAGCCGAACCTCCGAAGCCTCCAGTGAGGCCTGCAGCCGAACCGCCGAAGCCTCCAGTGAAGCCTGCAGCCGAACCTCTGAAGCCTCCAGTGAAGCCTGCAGTCGAACCTCCGAAGCCTCCAGTGAAGCCTGCAGTCGAACCTCCGAAGCCTGCAGTGAGGCCTTCCGACGAACTGTCCGAGCCCTCCGACGAACTACCAGAGCCTTCCGACGAACTGCCCGAGCCGCCAGCAGCCGAACCCACAAAGCCTCCCGTCAAGCCTGCAGTGAGGCCTTCCGACGAACTGTCCGAGCCCTCCGAACTGTCTGAGCCCTCTGACGAACTGCCCGAGCCGCCTGCAGCCGAACCCGCAAAGCCTCCTGCCAAGCCTCCTGTGATGCCTGCAGCCGAACCCGCAAAGCCTCCTGCCAAGCCTCCTGTGAAGCCTGCAGCTGAACCCGCAAAGCCTCCTGTCAAGCCTCCAGTGAAGCCTGCTGCCGAACCTCCGAAGCCTGCAGTGAGGCCTTCCGACGAACTACCGGAGCCTTCCGACGAACTGCCCGAGCCGCCTGCAGCCGAACCCGCAAGGCCTCCTGTCAAGCCTGCAGCCGAACCCGCAAGGCCTCCTGTCAAGCCTGCAGCCGAACCCGCAAGGCCTCCTGTCAAGCCTGCAGCCGAACCCGCAAGACCTCCTGTCAAGCCTGCAGCCGAACCCGCAAAGCCTCCTGTCAAGCCTGCAGCCGAACCCGCAAAGCCTCCTGTCAAGCCTCCAGTGAAGCCTGCTGGTGAATTGGCCAAGCCTCCTGTGAGTCACCCTTATGGCTAATGTCCTGGCCATAAGTTATGTGGGTATGCATGCAGTTAACTGTGCTGATTTAACCATTGGATGTGTAGTGTTTCCTGTATAGCCAAATAAATCTCACTTTTATGACTATTGCCTCTTTTTTTGTTCCTTTTAAGTGGGAAAACAAAGAATTTTTTATTTTTATTTTGGTATGCCAGTGTTCGTTTGGCTGTTCTCTCACATAATGGTTCATTGGAATCTATGCATGAGATCCCACCCTCCCTCAAAAAGCATAAGAGCGCGCATAGCAGAGTCTGCAAAGAGTTAAGAGATGAAAGGCTGCGTTAAATTGCTTCATGTCTCAAAATGCGTAACATTACAGTGCTAATGAACGTAAACAATGTGCAGTGCTCTAGTTGTATCACCTGACTGATGCAGATTAGTTTTGCCATTGATGGTGTTGACATGGAAATGCATAACTCCAAGTCTGAATCCAAATGCAATGATTGGACAAATTTATTTATTTTTATTTATTTTTTGGTCCTGAGAACTCTACAGAAGATATGTGCATGTTTTAATATTTGGAATACTTTTATTATTGATTGCTATAGGGTGTAAAGTTTCAACCAGTATTGCCAATTGACCAATAGTCTTCTGCATTCTTAATGTTCAATGTGTTTGGACATCAGTGAAAAAATTTTTTGTATATTGTAAAGCGCCTTGTGACTAAGTCTGTGAAAGGCGCTGTATAAATAAATTTTACTTACTTACTTACTTTACAGTGAAGACAATGGAGACACTATAGGAGCTGAAGAGTCATGCTTTAAATCGCTTATGCAGAGTTCACACTGACTACGTTTACATGCAGCCAATTGTCGGGTTAAGGTCACTATTTGGGTTTCTGGAACATTAGGAATAACCCGTTTACATGCGTGAGCAGAGAGAGTTTCTCCTGTATACATGGAATTGCAGAATCCTGATGTAAACGGCGACGTGCGGTTAGCGTCTAGACGTACGGACAACTTTAAGACGCAATATGCGTCATTTCCGATTCTTCTTCCTGTATCCAAAGACTATAACAACAGCAGACAAAGCTGAAAATCGGTCCGACGCGAAAAAGAGTCGCACGAGTCAGAATTCGGCTCAAAATCGGACGAAAATCGCACAGTGTATGCCCGCCTTAATTGGTGATTCGATCACACGGAACGTGAACATGGAGACACCAGCCACCATAGTCACATGTTTGCCGGGAGCCAGTAGTAGTTGATGACATTTAATATCCAATAATATTATTGATATGTGTTGTATTATATTCATGTTATCAATGTGAAGCTGTTTTGATACAATCAGAAATTTCTAGTATATTTCACAAATAATTGCAAAGAAACCGCAAGCAACGCATTGGACTAAATGTGAAACTGAAGTAGAAAGACTGAATATTCCGGAAAAACCATCTTATGGCGACTTTTTTCATACAGCGAATGAGACATTCAGTGTTCAGTGGCTTCAGTTATGTTGCTACCATTCAGTGGCAGTATTCAGTTATGTGGCTTCTCTGTCATGTGTCTCTTTATCAGCAAAGCCAGGAGAGTGTCCAAGCAAAAAAATTGGAGCAGAAACGTGTGACGATTTGTGTCACTATGACAGTGACTGTCCGAACAATGAGAAATGCTGCAGCAATGGATGTGGACATCAGTGTATGGCTCCATTTGCAGGTATTTATGTTATTATATTAGTGTTTGGGTCAGCTTCCTCATTTCAATTTGTCCTGGTTTAGAATTAATTGTTCTCAATGTAAAAGTGTTCAGCCAATTGCACGGTTTCGAGCACAGGATGGCTTTGCAAAATTAATTCTTAATACGATTATTTATTAACACGATTGATTAATAATTAAGGAGTAAAACTTACTATTTGGGTTTGGTGCTGTATCTGAGAGTGAATGCCGCTAAACTGACAGACTAAAGTTGACCATTCGTATCCATCCAGTGAAGCCTGCAGCCGAACCTCCGAAGCCTCCAGTGAGGCCTGCAGCCGAACCGCCGAAGCCTCCAGTGAAGCCTGCAGCCGAACCTCTGAAGCCTCCAGTGAAGCCTGCAGTCGAACCTCCGAAGCCTCCAGTGAAGCCTGCAGTCGAACCTCCGAAGCCTGCAGTGAGGCCTTCCGACGAACTGTCCGAGCCCTCCGACGAACTACCAGAGCCTTCCGACGAACTGCCCGAGCCGCCAGCAGCCGAACCCACAAAGCCTCCCGTCAAGCCTGCAGTGAGGCCTTCCGACGAACTGTCCGAGCCCTCCGAACTGTCTGAGCCCTCTGACGAACTGCCCGAGCCGCCTGCAGCCGAACCCGCAAAGCCTCCTGCCAAGCCTCCTGTGAAGCCTGCAGCTGAACCCGCAAAGCCTCCTGTCAAGCCTCCAGTGAAGCCTGCTGCCGAACCTCCGAAGCCTGCAGTGAGGCCTTCCGACGAACTGTCTGAGCCTTCTGACGAACTACCGGAGCCTTCCGACGAACTGCCCGAGCCGCCTGCAGCCGAACCCGCAAGGCCTCCTGTCAAGCCTGCAGCCGAACCCGCAAGGCCTCCTGTCAAGCCTGCAGCCGAACCCGCAAGGCCTCCTGTCAAGCCTGCAGCCGAACCCGCAAGGCCTCCTGTCAAGCCTGCAGCCGAACCCGCAAAGCCTCCTGTCAAGCCTGCAGCCGAACCCGCAAAGCCTCCTGTCAAGCCTCCAGTGAAGCCTGCTGGTGAATTGGCCAAGCCTCCTGTGAGTCACCCTTATGGCTAATGTCCTGGCCATAAGTTATGTGGGTATGCATGCAGTTTAACTGTGCTGATTTAACCATTGGATGTGTAGTGTTTCCTGTATAGCCAAATAAATCTCACTTTTATGACTATTGCCTCTTTTTTGTTCCTTTTAAGTGGGAAAACAAAGAATTTTTTTTTTTTTTGGTATGCCAGTGTTCGTTTGGCTGTTCTCTCACATAATGGTTCATTGGAATCTATGCATGAGATCCCACCCTCCCTCAAAAAGCATAAGAGCGCGCATAGCAGAGTCTGCAAAGAGTTAAGAGATGAAAGGCTGCGTTAAATTGCTTCATGTCTCAAAATGCGTAACATTACAGTGCTAATGAACGTAAACAATGTGCAGTGCTCTAGTTGTATCACCTGACTGATGCAGATTAGTTTTGCCATTGATGGTGTTGACATGGAAATGCATAACTCCAAGTCTGAATCCAAATGCAATGATTGGACAAATTTATTTATTTATTTTTTTTGGTCCTGAGAACTCTACAGAAGATATGTGCATGTTTTAATATTTGGAATACTTTTATTATTGATTGCTATAGGGTGTAAAGTTTCAACCAGTATTGCCAATTGACCAATAGTCTTCTGCTTCTTATGTTCAATGATGTGTTTGGACATCAGTGAAGACAATGGAGACACTATAGGAGCTGAAGAGTCATGCTTTAAATCGCTTATGCAGAGTTCACACTGACTACGTTTACATGCAGCCAATTGTCGGGTTAAGGTCACTATTTGGGTTTCTGGAACATTAGGAATAACCCGTTTACATGCGTGAGCAGAGAGAGTTTCTCCTGTATACATGGAATTGCAGAATCCTGATGTAAACGGCGACGTGCGCGTTAGCGTCTAGACGTACGGACAACTTTAAGACGCAATATGCGTCATTTCCGATTCTTCTTCCTGTATCCAAAGACTATAACAACAGCAGACAAAGCTGAAATCGGTCCGACGCGAAAAAGAGTCGCACGAGTCAGAATTCGGCTCAAAATCGGACGAAAATCGCACAGTGTATGCCCGCCTTAAATTGGTGATTCGATCACACGGAACGTGAACATGAGACACCAGCCACCATAGTCACATGTTTGCCGGGAGCCAGTAGTAGTTGATGACATTTAATATCCAATAATATTATTGATATGTGTTGTATTATATTCATGTTATCAATGTGAAGCTGTTTTGATACAATCTGTATTGTAAAAGCGCTATATAAATAAAGGTGACTAATACCCTTGATCAGCTCTACGTGGATGCTTTTTCCACTAAGTTCCACTAAACAAACATTGTGATTAAGTTTTGATTGATAATGTGAAGCTGCTTTGATGCAATCTATATTGAGAAATGCGCTAA